AAAAAAAAAAAAAAAAAAAAACTGTCCGGGAATTTCTTTATCTAATAAAGTCTCAAGTTTTTACTAAAAAATTGGTATTTTTTTTAAAACAGCAAACGGCAGTTAACTGCTGACTGAAAACAGTTGGTGATTTTACGATACTATATCAAAGTTATATAATTGCTTTTTTTGATGCTATCATATCTTTTTTTTTTTTTTGTCATTTTTTACACAACAAAAACTGACGCTATTTTTTCTTCCTTTAGTCGGCAATTTTTTTTTTGCAACTAAACGATTGACCAAAAAAGAAAAAAATTGTTTTTTTTACAGTTCTTTTGCTTTTTATTTTTTTATTTTTTTGTCTCTTTTTTTTTGACATACAATTTTAAATGATTAAACAGTAGACAATAATAGATCGCTGGAGAAAAAATTTAAAACCAGTTTTATACCGTTTTTCTTACATTTTATTGTTTTCAGAAGAACTTCTGAACTAGTAAATTTCTTCCGTTACTTTACCTGTTCTTCCTCTTTTCAACTCTTTCCTTTTTAATTCCTCTCACTTATTCAGCTAAATCAACTTTTTCTTCTTTTTTTTTTCAGTTTTTTTTGTTTACATTATTTTTTTTTCGTATACTAGATAAGCTAAAACTTGTTTCACGTTAATCTGGTTATGTTTAGATGCAAATAAAACAAGCTAAACATATGCAGATTTTGGTGATCTAGCTTTATACGTCAGCCAAATAACCGGCACGCTGAGAAACGACTTCAGCGTATTCCAGATAATAGCAAATAAATTTCACCTTTTTAATTTTTTATACTCAGCTTGAATCGCATAAATGTTCAAGCAAACAGGTGCAACAAAACAAAATACCTGTCTTATTTTCTTTGTCTATTTTTTTTTTTTTTGAAATGAAAAGTTTTGATCTTAAAAGAATTCCGAAAAGGAGAAAAATTTATGTGTTTTTTAAAGACAGTTTTACTCTCTTAATTTTCAATTTGAATCACAGTCTTAAAGTTGCCCAGAAATAAAATTAAAAAAATAATCAAGAAAAGCTATTAAAATAGCGCAGAAAAAAAAGTGAAACCCGGAAAGCAAAAGTGCATGATCCCAATGTCGTGGGTTTTTGTCATCTGACGGGTTTAAAGTACCCTGATAGCTGCAAAAGACGTCAAGAAGCCGATCAACTTCGCCGTTTAAATGTAATTGACGATTTAATTGAGGCTAAAAATTATAAATGTTAAAGTAATTTTTTTTTTTTGGAGCACACAGACTGTTTCTTTCTTCCTATCTCTTCACTTATCAGAATCTATAACTTGTATTTAATTATTATAGAAACAAATCGTCTTTTGT